TACTAGAAGGAGGTGATTGTTTAGCCTTAAAAAGTGCTCATTTTCAGGCATCTTCTGGTGCTCCCATTAAAGTCTATGGGGCCACAAACCCAAATTCTGCTTCAAAAGTGCTCATGTATGTTTATGAGCTCCAGGCGTTGAGCTTCAGGCGCCTCCCCATTCATATATATAAACAGGCACAATTTCAAGGCATGGGGTTTTGGATGTCGAGCGTTTTGGAACTTTGAGGTTCAAGCTACAAAACGCTCAGGTGTCAATCAGGACACACATCTCTGAAGCTGGCTGCAGATGTTCTTACGAACGCTCATACGAAAATGCCATCAGAAACCTGACGTATGTGGTTTAAAATTTCATTTGTTCGAGAAAAATCCATCCCGTTCCTTCACATTTTTTGGGTCACTGCGGTTGAAAATGATCGGTGACTTCATCTCATTTTTTAGAATGAATTGTTACTGGTGTATGGCCAGCTTTGGTAGACTATCTCCCATTCCTTACTGGGAAACGTTTCTACCTTACTTGCGCAATATCTGACCATGGCTCGCATGCGGTAAACGTTTTCTTTTTATGTCTATGTAAAAAAGAAGGGAAGTATCCTGAATTGGTAACAAGGGATTTGCAAGATGTTGCAAAATCACTAAAGGAAAGCACATTATGGGTTAAGTGTTAACTCTAGACTGACTCTCGCAATGACACTAGCCTTTGCTCACGTATGGTTCACCTACAAGGTGATCCAATGGCTTGACCAAGTATTTAACTCATTGGTTCACCTCCTGCTGGATTCCACATAACACAAAATATACTAAACATCCATCAAGAAAAGGGGGAGCGCCACATAAAGGCCACCACAGATGTGCAGACCTGCCCACCCTGGCACAGCGATCTTATAATAGAGTCTCAATACAGCTACCCTGGCACAGAGAACTCATCAATAGTGTCCCCAAGAAGAAGAACCAGCCACCCAGGCACAGAGAACTCATCAGTAGTGTCGCCAAGAAGAAGAACCGGCCACCCAGGCACAGAGAACTCATCAATAGTGTCGCCAAGAAGAAGAACCGGCCATCCTGGCACAGGCAACTCATCAATAGAGTCTCCAAGAAGCAAACCCAGCCACCATGGCACAGATAACTCATCAATAGTGTCCCCAAGAAGAAGAACTGGCCACCCTGGCACAGAGAACTCACCAGAAAAGTCCCCAAGAAGCAAAGCAGCGACATCACCATAGAGATCTCACCAATAGAGTCCCTATGTAGCAGACCCAGCCTCAACAGTACAAATCTCACTGATAGAGTCCCCGAGAAGCAGACCAGCCAGACCAGTAAGGGATCCCATCAATAGATTCCCCAAGGAGCAGACCAGCCACACCGATACAGAGATCTCACTAATGGGGTCCCTATGAAGCAGACCCGGCCTCAATAGTACAGTCACTCACTGATGGAGTCCCCGAGAAGCAGACTAGCCACACCAGTAAGGGATCCCATCAATAGATTCCCCAGCCACACCGATACAGAGATCACACCAAGAAGTACCATACCGTTACAGAAATTTCACCAACAGGAGCCCCAAGAAGCAGACCCAGCCCCACCAGAACAAATCTCACTAATAGAGTCCCCAAGAAGTAGACACAACCACACTGGTGCAGACATCTCTCCAAAAAGTCCCCAAGAAGCAGACCCAACCATACCGGAACTGGGATCCCACCAATAGAGTTCCCAAGAACCAGATCCGGCCCCACAGTTATGGAGATCTCACCAATAGAACCCCCAAGAAACAGACCCGGCCCCACCGGTACAAAGAACTCACCATCAGAGTCCCCAAGAAGCGACTTCAGCCACACTGCCACAAAGATCTCACTAAAGCGAGTCCCCAAGAAGCAGACCCGGTATAGAAAACTCATAAATAGGGTCCCCATGGCAACATAAGTATCCTTCAGATTGTTCAAATCCTAACTCCTAGCCAAAGCTATTCTTCTTTTTTTTTTTTTTCTACAGAGTGGCTGAGAGTGAATTGTCTGAGAATTTGCAGGAATGTAAATGATGGTAAGTAGAATATGTCAAACTAAAGTTAAAGAGCGCACCTGATGGCCCGGCATATTCCAAGAGGAATCACACGTAGTGCCGTCAACAGGGATTAGCCCAAAAATCCCAAATTCTTATAGAAAAATATGAAGCCAAATGACAGCACAACATTCCTCTTCAGTACCGGAAACATATTTGTTACATTATATCATCAAATTGGCAGATCGATCAATCTGGGGATTGAATGTGACATCTTTCTTTATTCTAGCAAACAAGAATTTTGTGCTTCAAAGTATATCTGCCTATTTTGGGGTGGACAAATTAATATGGAATTCAGGAGCCAGTCAGTCCAATCCAGGGGCCCTTGTTTTAGGGGCCAGCTCCATTGACAACAACTAGAGAAAACCTCAAAAGTTAAGGGTCGGTTGTAATTCTTAAAAGAGAACTATGGGGTAAGTGTTTTTCCCCATAGTTCTCCCAAGGGTCACGGGAGGACATATACTAGCGTCCTCCCGTCACCCAAAGCTCAGTATATAGCGCGCTACAGCTCGCGGTACACCGAGTCCGCCGCAGCCGTGTGATTGACATTACTGTCGAGATCCACCCAGCTGCGTGTGTGACAGCTGGCTCTGCCTATCTAGAGGCAGAGCCAGCTGTACCCGCCCCCTCCCCCGTCCGTTCCGCCAGTCAGCGCTGGAGGATCGGAGCGGATGGGGGGGGAATCCCTGCAGGGAGCCGTGAGTGACAGTCACCACTCTCTGCGGGGAGATGATTGAGGAGTGAGCGAGCGACGGTATGTGTTCGCTCACTTCCCCATCTATTGAGCCGACGTGTGACAGTTTCAGTGTCACACGTTGGCTCGAACTATGAGGATGAGTGAAAATCACTCACCTCATAGTTCTCCTTTAAGGAACATTGGCAACCTGGCTCCTGGGATTTGCCCAACCCCAATTATATATATATATATACAGTGCCTGGCCAAAAGAAAAGTCACCACCTGGGTTTTGGGCAGTGTTATGATCTGGGTTTGCTTCATTTGGTCATGTCTAGGTTCAGCAACGTTATGACCCCCAAAAAACGAGGTCAGCTGACTCCTTGAATATACTGAATGGCCAGGTTTATCCATCAATGGATTGAATGGCACATTGGGCATATTCCAAGATGGCAATGCAAGGATTCATCGGGCTCAGATTGTGAAAGAGTAGTTCAGGGAGCATGAGACATCATTGTCACACATGGATTGGCCACTACAGAGTCCAGACCTTCACCCCATTGAGAAGCTTTGGGATGTGCTGGAGACGACTTTACGCCGTGGTCCGACAAGATGTGATGGACTACAATCTCAATACAAATTAGTGACCTAAACCTGAGATTGTAGTCCGTCACAGGAGTGAGCTTGGAGCGGTGACTACTTCACAACACACAGGGACCATAGGGAACAGAAGTAGCCCCCCTCCAGAAGGAAGGACAGTGTCAGCACCAATTCAGTGCAGAATCCGTTAAAAAAAATCACACTAGCTCTATTTTGCGGGACGCAGGGTTTCGTAACGAGCGGCCGCCGCAAAAGTCTGAACAATTGTTTTTTTTATGTTTAGAGTGGCTATTCGTACCACTGAATACGCGCGGACAACAGCTCCTGTGTGAATAACGCCTTAGCGCTTGCTCACACCACTTACAGTGCGTTCCAGATCGGTTGCTGCTGGAACACACTGTGCCGCACACTAAACTCCCCCCTGCATTCTGGGACGGGGCGTGGCGGTGCATTGAAGTCAATGGCACCGTAGCCACGCCCGCTGTGTAGTCGCCTGCACTGCAACGCGGCAAAGCAATGCCTGTGCGATTGCCCAAAAAATAGGGCGTGCAGCATTGCTTGGACCGCAGGCATTGTTTTGCCAGATGTCCCGGTGCAGGGCGATCACACTGCGGACGGGAGTTTTGTGGCTGCAGTGCCTTTGTCTTCAATGCACCGCACTCCCCTTCCTGTCCCAGAATGCAGGGGGAGTTTACCGCTCTGGAACGCACTGTAATTGGTGTGAATAAGCCCTAAAAACCCTTTTATACCTGGACATCCATTGCTGTAATTGTCTTCAGCTTACACTGCAGCTTCTCTGACTGCTGAAATCTTAAAGACTCGTTTACACCCTTGCCTGGAATGCAAGGGATCGCATACTCAAAGTCTCTGGGGTGGCAGTGCCATTCATGCCATCGGCTGCACCAGCAGAACGCACGGTAATACAATGCCCTGCGTTGAAGTGTGGTGCAATCACAAAACATTGTGCATGCCCTGTTTTTGGCGGGCGGGCCGCGCCTCCAGTTCTATTGACATGAATGGCACTGCCACGCCGCCTCCCACCCCAGAACGTAAGGAGACTTTGTGCATGCGATCCCTTTAGTCAATGGCATTACTTTTTTTTGGGGGGGGGGATAAAAATGTTGCTATGGGGCGCTGTGATTTCTGGTTGCACCCCTGAGAACAAGTAAGGGAACCTCTGGGTGGAAGTCTATGTACACAGGTCAAACATTGAAGAAAGCAGCAACCATTATTAAAGGTGTTTTACATTGGAAGCTGCTGAGGTTGAGTGATATCAGACACGCCTTTAACCTGTAAATAGAATCTTTATATAGCAGTGTTGGTGAGTTTTGCTGCAGCACTTATTAACCCCTGCACAGCCAGGAGCCCAGCCTTTTCCTGGGGTGTAGCTGAAGCCCAAGCTGTGTCCATATGACACACATGGACGGGAAACGAAGGCGACAGACAGCAGACCGCTAGCAGCTCAGCCTCTCCCCGCCCACTATGACTGCGATTCCCGGCCCGTCCCTCCCGACTGCCCCCATCCCGTCTGATCAGAAAACAAGGAAAGTCCCCGGGATTCGCGGAAGTTTGTGCTGCCGTCGTTGGCTCTAGCTGGCGATCTCTGCTGTCCGGTTCGCTGCATCTGATGGCCACAGATTCCTCCGCTCGTCCAGCCCGAGTCTGAGCCGACCCAATGGCCGCCGCTTTCCTGCTAGCCGCTGCGCTGCTGGGCTCGTCCCGCGGCTTCAACCTGGACTCGGAGAAGCCCGTCATCTATGCCGGGACCGAGGGCAGCTACTTCGGCTTCGCCGTGGACTTCTTCTCGTCCTCCTTGCTGATCGGGGCTCCCAAAGCCAACAGCAGCCAGCCTGGCATCAACCAAGGGGGCGACGTGCTGAAATGCGACTGGAGAAATGCCAAATGCCAGCCTATTGTCTTCGACTCAACTGGCAATCGATACTATGCCGACAACGACCCCATCGAGTTCAAATCTAACCAGTGGTTCGGGGCATCCCTGAGAGTCAAAGACGACAAGATCCTTGCCTGTGCCCCCTTGTATCACTGGAGGACTGAGGCCAAGCAAGAAAGGGAGCCAGTTGGGACTTGTTACTTGAAGGATGGAGACAAGATTGTGGAATATGCGCCCTGCAGGTCTACTTCCAAAGCAGACGCCCAGGAGCAAGGCTTTTGCCAGGGCGGGTTCAGCGTTGACTTCACCAACAACAACCGGGTCCTTCTCGGGGGTCCCGGCAGCTTCTACTGGCAGGGTCAACTCATCTCGGACAAGATCGAGAACATTTTTAAAAACTACGACCCCGCGAAGTACAGCACCACCTACGAGGGTCAGCTGGCCACCAGATCGGCCAGCCCCGTGTACGACGACAGCTACTTGGGCTATTCCGTGGCGGTGGGTGACTTCAACGGAGACGGTGTCGATGATTTCGTCTCCGGGGTGCCGAGAGCAGCCAAAACGCTGGGGATGGTGTCCATTTACAACGGCCAGTCGATGGCGTCGCTGTACAATTTCACCGGAGAGCAAATGGCCGCCTATTTTGGTTATTCCGTGGCCACGACAGACATCAATGGCGATGGGCTGGTGGACCTGTTCGTGGGGGCTCCCCTTTTTATGGACCGCGGCTCCGATGGGAAGCTCCAAGAAGTTGGGCAAGTCACCGTTTATATTCAGCAAAGCAGAGCGGGGCTTCGGTTTTTATTGAAGCTGACTGGTTTTTACGCTTTTGCAAGATTCGGCAGCTCCGTGGCGCCTCTTGGTGACGTGGACCAAGACGGTTTCAATGACATTGCCATTGGGGCACCTTACGCCGGAGAAGGTAAAAACGGCCTCGTGTACATTTACAACGGAAGAAGTTCTGGGGTCAGCACAACACCCTCCCAAGTTCTTGAAGGACAATGGGCCTCTAGAACCATGCCGCCGAGTTTTGGATACTCCTTGAAAGGTGCTACCGACATTGATGAGAACGGCTATCCTGATTTGGTGGTTGGAGCTTTTGGGGCAGACAAGGCTATATTATACAGGTCCAGGCCTGTTGTCACGGTGAATGCCGTTCTAGAAGTGAATCCAACCATACTGAACCCGGAAAGTAAAACCTGTACTCTTCAAAATGGAGCTATGGTTTCCTGCTTTGATGTGAAATTCTGCCTCAAAGCCACTGCCAAAGGGAACGTCCCGGCAACCCTGAACTTTAAGGTGGAACTTTTGTTGGATAAGCTTAAACAGAAGGGAGCAGTACGAAGAGCGTTGTTCCTTCACACCGCACAGCCCACTCATTCCAAGAACATGACAATAGGGAATGGAGGGAACATGCGTTGTGAAGAATTAAAAGCCTATCTACGGGATGAGAGCGAGTTTCGGGACAAACTCACACCTATCACAATCTTCATGGATTACGAAATGGATTATAAGGCCGCCGCTGATCCATCTGGACTAATGCCCATCCTTAACCAGCTCACCTCGGCCAACCTAACCAAACAGGCGCACATCTTGTTGGACTGCGGCGACGACAACATCTGCAAGCCTAAGTTGATGTTATCGGTTGAAAGCCAGCAACAACAAATCTACATCGGAGATGACAGCCCCTTGACTCTGTTCGTTGATGCCCAAAATCAAGGCGAAGGGGCCTACGAAGCAGAACTTTTTGTCTATATACCACCCCAGGCAGACTTTATTGGCGTTGTCCGAAACAATGAATCCTTGACACGCTTGTCTTGTGCCTTCAAAACGGAAAATCAGACGCGCCTTGTCGTATGCGACCTTGGAAATCCCATGAAGGCCGGGACAAGGGTCTTGGCAGCCTTGCTGTTTAGCGTCCACCAGCTAAGTGAGATGGACAACACCGTCAACTTTGACTTGCAGATCCAAAGCTCTAACCAGTATGACAATACCAGTGCCAAGCAGTCCCTGCGGATTGCCCTGGCGGTTCTGGCCGCAGTTGACATAAGAGGCGTTTCCACTCCGACGGAGGTCTTCCTGCCCATTGCAAACTGGGAACCCAAGGAGAACCCGGTAACGGAAGATGACGTTGGACCTCTGGTTCAACATATCTTCGAGCTCAGAAACAATGGCCCCAGTGCGTTCAGCAAAGCGATGCTCAACATCCAGTGGCCCTACAAGTACAAGAACAACTATCTGTTGTACATTGTCAAATATGAAATCGACGGCCCCATGGACTGCACTTCTGATGTTCTGATCAACCCACTGGACCTCAAACTGTCCAGTTCGCAAGCGGACGAGGTGAAAAACGTGACCCGCACGGAACGCAATCGGCGCGAACTTCCGCTGGTGGACGGCGAACTGCAGACCATTGGCTGCGGCCAAGCGCAGTGTCTCAAGATTGAATGCCACGTGGAGCGCGTGGAAAGAGGAAAAAGCGCCATCTTGTACATTCGGTCAAGATTGTGGACGCCGACGTTTCTGAATAGCGAGAACCAGAACCATTCCTATTCTTTAAAATCTTCCGCCACGTTCCATGTGCTGGAATTCCCTTATAAGAACATGAGTCTTCCTGATATAAACAATTTCACCGAGGTCACGACCAACATCCTGTGGGTGAACCAGACGTCCAGCGCCCCCGTACCCGTGTGGGTCATAGTACTCGCAGTGCTGTCAGGTTTGCTACTGTTGGCCCTAATGGTGTTTATTATGTACAAGTTGGGGTTCTTTAAACGTGTCCGGCCTCCTCAGGAGGAGACGGAAACCGAACAGCTTCAGCCGCATGATAATGAAGGAAACACAGATGCTTGAGTTAATCATTCCTACATTTTTTTGTTGTTTTTGTTCCAGGAATAACTTAGTTCCCCAAAGCAGTTTTAAAGTGGACGCTCCACTTCTGTGCACACGCTGCCAAGTTTCTGTCTTATGTATCAAAGAGGGTTCATTCGGTGATGTAGCGTAAAGTTCAGTAATGGTATGCAAAGCCTGATTTTGGGGTTTATGGTAGTCAGATCACTGAAAGTTGTAATACACTTAGGGCAGGGATGGCGGCCCTCCGGCTGTGGTGGAACTACGAATCCCATGAGGCTTTGCAAGATTCTCACAGCCACAGACATGACTCCCGGAGAGAGAGATGCTTCATGGGATTTGTTGTTTCACCACAGCTGGAGGGTCGGAGTTTGGCCATCCCTGACTTAGGGGCTGATATATAAATGTCGCGCCCGGTGAATAGCTGGGCGGATGCCGTTTGCCCGCCACTAGGTGGTGCTGAGGAGCAGAGGATTTTCTTATGCTCTTCAGCGCCATCTAGGGCCACTAGGGAAATTTATAAATCAGCCCCTTACTGTGAATGTCTGAGCAAAAAAAAAACATTGGGGGGGAATTTATCAAAACTGGAGCAGTTGCCCATGGCAACCAATCAGCTTCTCTTTTCAGTTTGTTCAGTGATGGTTTGAAAATGAAAGGTGGATGCTGATTGGTTGCCATGCACAGCTGCTCCAGATTTTGATAAATTCCCCTCATTCTGTATATCTCTCCGACATATGCTGTGTTTTGTTTTAGTGCCGAATAATACCTTTTTGATCCTGCCAGAAATGCACTCTGCTCCTAATTTGCTCCTGCATCACTGACAACTAAGGATGAGCTCGGGTTTGTCTATACTTGAGTTCATCTGAATCTGGAAGGAAGTTGTCCTTGACGGCTCAGTCAGCTGCGGCCAGGTCATTCGTCACCCTGCAGCTGCACATAAAGGGACATTATTGACCTTATATGGTCATATTTGGTCAATGACATCGCCCTAAAATGTCCATATAAGGTCAATGATGTCACCAGGATCCCATCCCTTTACATACAGCACTGGCATCTTCCTTCCAAGTTTGACTAAAGCTGCCCATACACCTGGCGATCATCGGACGACACTTTTCGTCCGATGATCGAACCGTCGTCGGATTTTCGTACAGCGGCCCCATCCTGCCCCGATTATCGCAAGGTTGGATCAGCGGTAATTAAAAGAAAGCACCTGGACGAATTGCGGTAATCGGCCGCGCGTATTTTGCGAAAATCGTACGACCGACCGAAGTTTTCTGACCTGCTGGTTAGTCAAAAGTCGATCGATTGTACCGTATTTGCGGTTGTACACTGCCCATCAACCTCACGAAAGCGCGATCGCATACGAAAATCGTCCGATTATTCGTAAGGTTTATGGGCAGCTTTACTCAAGTTTGGACCGAACCCGAGCTCATCCCTACTGACAACACTGCTGGGGATTTCTGTCAGCTCATAGCAGGAAGTTAGGTGCTCACTGGTTTCTGGCAGATCTACAGGTATTTGTCTGTACTTGGATGGGGAAATGCGCATGTACTAAGGACATACCGAAAACAATTTCTTTTTTTGCTTAGACATTCACTTGTTTTTATGAAATTCACTGCCATTCATACCTACTATAGTGTGATTTGCACTTAAGCTTGAAGAACGCCTTACCTAGGCGCGCAACTGTGCATTTGTAGACGCATCTAAAGCGTGCCAGCTGTGTGTTTTACGTGTTCTACCCTTAGTCCTTGTGGAAGGTACACGTAAGCGGTAGGCAGGCCCTTTTAAAGAAGAACTTGGGGAACAAAATGTACCCTTGCAGTGGGGCTGCCCTGGCACTGCGAGAGTTAACTGCTCATCTTCTCTAGGGGGCTCAAATAAAGCAGATATCATTCTCGCCCGGCTGCCAGACCCGCCCCCTCCGCACTTTTCTCCTGTGGTCTAAGGTCCCGCGATGTCACTACGTCTTATGCAGGTCTATTAGACGCGGGGGGAGGGGGGAGCATTCTACGGCCTGAGCAGAGTGGAAGAAAGGTGAGCGGTTACTGCCGCAGGTCTGAGGATCCTTGGTCCCGCTGGCCTACTAAGCCAGTCCCTGCCGTCTCTTCTCCCCTGGGTTCCTGCGTCTAAGCGCGCGCTGACTTCATTGCATCCTATGCAGGTCTATTAGACGCAGGGCGGAGGGACATTCTACGGCCAGAGCAGAGGGGAAAAAAGGTGAGCGGTTACTGCCGCCGGTCTGAGGATCCTTGGTCCTGCTGGCCTACTAAGCCAGTCCATGCAGTCTCTTCTCCCCTGGGTTCCTGCTTCTCAGGGCGCGCTGACTTCATTGCATCCTATGCAGGTCTATTAGACGCGGGGGGAGGGGGGGGCATTCTACAGCCAGAGCGGAGGGGAAGGTTAGCGGTTACTGCCGCCGGTCTGAGGATCCTTGGTCCCGCTGGCCTACTAAGGCAGTCCCTGCAGTCTCTTCTCCCCTGGGTTCCTGCGTCTAAGGGCGCGCTGACTTCATTGCATCCTATGCAGGTCTATTGAGTTGCATTAGACGAGAGGGCGCCAAGGGACGTACCACATCACAGAGAGGTAGAGGGGTGAATGGCGTCCACCGTGGGACCGAGGATCAGATGGGGTATATCTGCTTTATTGAAGCACTTAACCCTTGCAGTGCCGGAGTAAGCCCCACTACAAGGGTACGGTTCTTTAAATCACACTCCAGTAAAACTCACACTCCATATAGTATTAAAAACATTGGTACTCCCCTCCCCATCAGCCTTTGGTCACGTAAAACATTTCTAAGTAAAGAGGTGTCACATCGATACGGTTTCCTGTGTTTTGAAACAAGACTTTACTAAGAATAGCCGAATAATGTCGCTGGTTCCTAGTACATAGAATGAGGTTAGATTGGTCAGCTCCGCTGCGTGTGCATTGTACAGTGTAAAGCGTCTCTAACCCCAAAAACAAACATGTCGTAAATTGCAGCTAAACAGTCCTGAGATGGGGCGTCTGCATTCGTTTTCTTTTATCGGGCTCTTTTTCCACTTTATTTTCACCTGGTAATGCTGTGAATGGCTACGCTCCCTGTTCCACTGTATCTATGGAGTCGTGGTTGTCACCCAGCCCCGGACTACGAATACATCTGCCTTTTGTTCAACTCCATTACCTAGTGCAGGGGTAGGCAACCTCGGCTCTCCAGCTGTGCTCAAACTACAAATCCCATAATGCTTCTGCCTCTGGGAGTCATGCCTGTGGCTTGCAATGCCTTATGGGTTTTGTAGTTTCAGCACAGCTGGAGAGCCGAGGTTGCCTACCCCTGACCTAGCGGCTGATGTGTTTAGTAGTTTGCAAGATTTTTTTTTTTGTCTTGCAGGATATGGCATTTCTGGCAGGATTAACAGGTATTTTCTGTACTTGCCGAAAATGTGTTAAGCCTAAAAAAAAAACCGAATGCATCCACCACATCCGAGGACTGGTAAGCTGAAGTATATTACGTTTTTGTTCTTGGGTTTAGTTATGCCTTGAATCCCAACTCCGGGGATTGCACGCGCTCTCCTCTAGCTCTGCAAGGGTTACATGCTCACAGGGGGTAGAGGAAAGGGCTGTATTACCTTCTTGCTTGCGTACTATTTTCCCTGACTCTTAGGCCCCATTCACACTTGACGAGTCGCAAATCGCGCGATTTGCATTTTGCGTGATATCGCGCAAAGGCTTGCATTGAGCAAGCGAGAATCGCGGCAAAATCCGCTCCAAGAAGGGTCCTGCTGTAGCGACACTTGACCCGCGACAGCAGGACCCTTTGCCCCATTGAGATGCATTGAAGAGCGATATCGCGCGGTAAATAGCCGCGATATCGCGGGAATTACCGCGCTATAAATCGCTAAGTGTGAACGGGGCCTTAGGTTGTGGTTGGTCCCTCGCCACCCTCAGGTACAGTGCAGGGCTAGTGGCCCCAGATTGTACAGGGGTGTGGTCGCTCCTGCTCTCAAGGGAGAGGTTGCCCAGATGCTGGGAGCCTGCCGGAGCTTGGAGTAAGGCAGGGATCACACCTTATTCCTCAACCCCCTAGACTTAACAAGCATTTAACCTCTGCAGTGGGGCCCACAGGGTTAAATACTCATTAGGTGTAGGGAACCGAGTTGGGCTTTAAGTGAAAGGAGCTGGCTTATGAAGCATTCACCCGACATATATCGTTACTGCCACTAGATGGAGCCGAGGAGCACAAGACATTCCTATTCTCCTCGGCGCCATCTAGTGGCAGTAATAAAAGGTGAATGGCGTTTGCTCGGCTATACTCTGGATGAACGCTTTATAAATCAGCCCAAAGTGTATGTCCGGGCAACTTTTTTTTTTACTTTGGATAGAGCGGGGTAAGATTAGAACCGTGTCAGGTTTTTACTGCTATCTTAGGTTGCGTTAGAAAGTTCCCGTCACTTACTGTCAAAGGTTCCAGAAAGGACGTGGGTGGCGATCTCCAAGAACAGAAATATAAAATGCTTTTTTTTTCTTAAAAGAGAACTATGGGGTAAGTGTTTTTTCCCCCATATTTCCCGTTAGGGTCACGGGAGGACATAAACTAACCTCCTGTGACCCAAAGCTCAGTATATCGCGGGCTGTACTGAGAGCGTCGCAGCAGGGACGGATCCCGACAATACTGTCTGGATCCACCCAGCTGCGTGAGTGACAGCTGGCTCTGCCTGTCTAGAGGCAGAGCCAGCTGTGCCCGCCCCCTCCCTGTTTGTTCCTCCAGTCAGCGCTGGAGGATCAGAGTGGGGAGGGGGGAATCCCTGCAGGGATCGGTCACTGCAGGGAGACGATCGGGAAGTGAGCGGATCGGCTGCATGTTTCTGCTCACTTTCCCATCAATAGAGCCGACCTGTGACAGCTTCTTTGGCACAGGTCGGCTCTAACTATGAGAATGAGTGGTGACCTCCTTTAGGCGTAGGGAAGGCTGGAATCACCATCCGCTTTTTTGCTGCTTGCACTCCAACAGATTTTTCCTCACTTCCTGTCTGGTCAAGCGGTTGTCACCGTGACAGTGAGGGGAAGCGGTTGTCACCGTGACAGTGAGGGGAATCGGTTATCACCGTGACAGTGAGGG